ACCATGTCGGCTGTTCAGATCTTTTGAATATTTTTCCATTTACTTATTAATCGTTTTGTTATTGCTTTCTGCAGTTACTTATATAATCTGGACACAAATCCTTTGACAGATACAGGTAACACATTTTCTTCTTCTTTGTAAATTGTCTTTTGACAATTTGAACAACAAAAGTTCTTAATTTTAATATTGTCCAACATATCATTTTTTTTCTTTTATGCCCCATATTTTATATCTTTTTAAAGTAATGCTGGCCAGGTGTGGTGGCTCAAGCCTGTAATCCCAGCACTTTGAGAGGCCAAGGTAGGTGGATCATGAGGTCAGGAGTTCGAGACCAGCCTGACCAACGTGTTGAAACCCTGTCTCTACTAAAAATACAAAAATTAGCCGGGCGTGGTGGTGCATGCCTGTAATCTCAGCTACTCAGTGTCATGCGCGTCCGTGTGAAGAGACCACCAAACAGGCTTTTTATTGCAACATGGCTATTTATTTCACCTGGGTGCAGGCGGGCTGAGTCCGAAAAGAGAGTCAGCGAAGGGAGATAAGGGTGGGGCCGTTTTATAGGATTTGGGTAGGTAAAGGAAAATTCCAGTCAAAGGGGGGTTCTCTGGCGGGCAGGAGTGGGGGTCACAAGGTGCTCAGTGGGGGAGCTTTTTGAGCCAGGATGAGCCAGGCACAAGATAATGTCATCACTTAAGGCCAGGTCCAGCCATTTTCACTTCTTTTGTGGTGGAATGTCATCAGTTAAGGCGGGGCAGGGCATTTTCACTTTTGTGATTCTTCAGTTACTTCAGGCCATCTGGGCATATACAGGCAAGTCACAGGGGATGCGATGGCTTGGCTTGGGCTCAGAGGCCTGACACTCAGGAGGCTGAGGCAGGAGAAAGAACCGCTTGAATCCGGGAGGTGAAGGTTGCAGTGAGATCGTGCCACTGCATTCCAGCCTGGGCGACAGAGCAGAGACTCCGTCTCAGGAAAAAAAAAAAAAAAAAAAAAAAAAAAAAAGAAAAGAAAAGAAAAAGAAACAAAAGAAATGCTGACTTACTCCACAGTCATAAAGATGTTCTCTTATGTTTTCCTCTAAAGACTTTTTTTTTTACTTGAACATTTAGATAGGCAATCTATATAGAAATTATTTTTGTGTATGTTGTAAAATAAGGGTCAAAATAATTTGGGGGATGTGGATACTCAAATGATGTTTACTTATTGAAATGATCCTCATTTCCTACATTGTATTGCAGCATCATCTTTTTTATAAACAGTATGTGTGTGAGTCATTTTCTGAACTCTGTGTTCGTTGGTTGCCCTATGTATCTGTGTCAATTCCACTCTGATATAACAACTATAGCTTTAAAATAGGTCTTAGATTGGGTAATTCAATCCTACACCGTTATTCTTTAAGATTGACTTTGCTATCCTTGGCTCTTTGCACTTCCAAGTTGACTTTAAAAAGTCAACTTGTCAATTTCTATACTCACAAAACCTGCTGGAATTTTGTTTTAGAACTGTAGAATGTTTTGAGAAATGTTGACATCTTTATAATATGAGCTTTCCAAATCATAAGCATGGTATGTTTCCATTTATTTAGATCTTCTTCAATTTCTTTCAGTCAAATTTTATAATTTTTAATATTGAGGTCTAGAAGATCTTTTGTTAGATTTATTCCTAAATCTATTTATATAAATAAATATATAAATGTATTCCTTAAATTTCCCTTTTCTATTTCTTTGTGACTGATATTTGATACAATTTATTTTTGTGTATTTTAATTTAGAGAATGTGTTAAATACATGTTCCCTTTTAATTTCATATTTTCCTCTTCTCTCTGACTATATTAGATTCTATTAACTTAGAGCAGCAGTCTACTTTTATGTATATATAACTGTAAAACTTTATCATATGTCATAATAAGTGTTTTCTGATGTTGTAATCACTAAGGACACAAATATTCTTTACTCATCACTGATACTTAGATTCTTTCACTTTTATTGTTGTTTGTCTCAGAATAGTTGGTGCTCATTTCTGTCTGGGAGGTGCTTTCTCTTTTATCTTTTCCCTTTCTCCTTCTATCTGATGTTAGCAAAATAATAGGATATAAGAGCCATCTTAGTATTATATAAATGGCTCAAGATTATGCCTTGGGAGCCTAGGATTCCAGTCCTTGCTTTGTCCCTTCTGAGTTCCTCTGAAATATCCTCAGGCTAGAATAGGAGAGAATTTAAGACCAGCGTTTCCCAAATTCCTAGCATAAGAATTACTAGAGGTGCTCGTTGAAAACAAAGATTCTTAGATCCCTACCGAGATCTACTGAATTAGAATTTCCAAGGGAAAATGATTCTTATCCTCAGGGAAGTTTCACTTACACAGGACAAGATTAAGATTCCTTCCATCTCTGATATTATCTGACTCTGTGAATACTATCATTGTATTGCCATAATCAAAAGAAGAATTTTCTCTAAACAAAGGAGCGTCAGAAAACCACTGTCAATACTCCAAAGTTTAGTATTTGGTATACCTATGAGCACAAATAAATTGATACATTGCATACAGGTGCTATTCAATCTACTCTGCCAGATCAAGGAAAGCCAATGACATATGAGGATCTTCAAGGCATCTGTGCCTTTGCTAGTTAACTTGACTAGTAACTTCTGACCATTTATTTTGCATCCAAAGTCATTAACCAAACCAAGTCAGAAATGGCAGTGCTCCTGAAAGAATAACTATAGCTTAATCATTAATGCCACAGTCAGAAATGAAGCTGGACTCTTCTTTGGGTAAAGGTTGGTGGGAGACAGTAGAAATGAGGAGTGTAATAGAAGCTGAGAAGATATGGTCAAAGTCTGAGTTAAAGTTTAGAGAGGAAAAGATAGAGTTTATCCTGGCCCTATTTGTCAATAAATTATTCAAATAGTTAATGTAAAAATTTTGTGAGGGATATAGTTATAGGTTTTCTGTCTTGTATTTTCAAATAAAATAATTCATTCTGATGTTGCCTGACCTTGTTTATTTAGTCTTCAATTTTTCTTATTTCTTTTATAGCTCTCTAGTCTTTCTTTTCCCTTTTCGTTTGACAAACAACTAGAGGGGCACCATGCTCTTTTGTTATTCTTTTACTTCTTTGGCTTGACAAAAATAACACGGCATAAAATGAACCTAGCATTATCATGTTTGTTTTTGTTCCTCTTCTGATAAGGACTAAATATATAATTAAGGAAAATGGTGTTCACAACAGTACCTAGAAAATAACTGGTTCACAATTTTTGCTCAAATTAAATTTTATTTGTTAAATGAAAGAATAGATCAATCTTGAAGTGAGAAAATGAAAATACAAGGAATGACTTTAGCAAAGAAGAAAAATGGTTCCCAAATGTATATCACCAATCCTTTTCTCTCATTTTCTTTAGCCCCGCCTCTTTAATTGCTTATAGGCTATTTTTAGCTGAAGTTTTATGATGCTGAAAACAAAGGTCACCTTCCTTTCTTTTCTTCTCTTTTCTTTTCTTGTCTTGTCTTCCTTGCTTCCTTCCTTCTTTTCTTTTCTTTCGAGTCTCATTCTGTCACCCAGGCTGGAGTGCGGTGGTGGGGTCTTGGCTCACTGCAACCTCTGCCTCCTGGGTTCAAGTGATTCTCCTGCCTCAGCCTCTGGAGTAGCTGGGACTACAAGCGTGTGCCCCCACACCCAGCTAATTTTCGTATTTTTAGTAGAGATGGGTTTCACTATGTTGGCCAGTCTAATCTTGAACTCATGACCTTGTGATCCACCCACCTCAGCCTCCCAAAGTGCTGGGATTACAGGTGTGAGCCACCACACCCAGCCAAAACTCACCATCTTTCTTATCTCCCAAATTCAGTTCTATGATGGCTTTCCTTCTTCAATTCATTTTAATCCTCTGCATTCCTACATTCCATTTATGTAACCTCCATACCTGAATAATGACTGATACCAACTCCACTTTTTCCAGCAGTCATGGCATAGTGAAAATTACAAATCTGCCACTTACTGGACAGGTACTTTGAACAAATTCCTTAACCTCTGGGAACATTACTTTCTGTAAAATGGAGATAGTAATATGAATTAGGATAAATATATATGTTATATAGACATACAACATATATGTAATTCATATATATTAACCTTTCAATAGTAGATATTCAATAAATTACAGCTATTGTTACCCTGAAATCAGTTTTTCTTTCTTTCTTTTTTTTTTTTTTCTTTTTTTTGAAATGGAGTCTCGCTCTTGTTGCCCAGACTGGAGTGCAATGGTGCGATCTCGGCTCACTGCAACCTCCGCCTCCTGGGTTCAAGTGATCCTCCGGCCTCAGCCTCCGGAGTAGCTGGGATTACAGGCGTCTGCCACCACGCCCAGCTAATGGTTTTTTTGTATTTTTAGTAGAGACGGGGTTTCACCATATTGGCCAGGCTAGTCTTGAATTGCTGACCTAAAATGATCCGCCTGCCTGGGCCTTCCAAAGTGCTGGGATTACAGGCGTGAACCACCGCGCCCGACCTTGGTATCAGTTTTTCAATCTGTGCTTGAGGTGTTGTGTTCTTAACTATCTTGTACTCCTTTGTAAAGATAATATTTCTTAAACATAGATTTTCTAATCAGTTCTCTAGCATTGTTTCATTCCATCTTTGGCATGTTTTCACTTTGCTGTGCTGTACTTTTACACATTCTTTTTAACTATAGCTTCCTGCTTTGCTCTGGATCAGGAAGCGATTGAAGCTGACACCCACAGAGTTAAACTCAGTTGCTGAAGCCACCAGCTCCCCCTCCCAGTCCTCCTTTTCAGAGTAGGCTGGCAGCTGTCCTAACTGCCTACTAAAGCCAAATGCTTGAGGAGAGAGAGAAAGGAGCCAGCCATGAATCCTTTCCAGAAAAATGAGTCCAAGGAAACTCTTTTTTCACCTGTCTCCATTGAAGACGTACCACCTCGACCTCCCAACCCTCCAAAGAAGCCATCTCCGGTGAGTCCTTAGATTCAATCCTGCCTCTGGCAGGAATGGCTTCCCTCTTTTGGCTCTCTTCCTTGGGCTCCGGAGCTTCAAGCTGAGCTGTATTAGGGTATTAAAATGATTCTCTCTTGGATTTAGAATTCACCTGAAACCAAATCTAAACAGAAGCTTCCTTTACATAAGAAGACAAAGCAGCAGGAAGAGGTAGTCAAATTTCTTCAGTTGGGATCCAGGGACTTGATGAATTTCATTGCATATTCTGTTTCCCTGGGGGAAAAAAGCAATTTGAATGTCCAGGGAAACTTGGCAAGCATTCTTGTCTGGAGAACTATGTGTGATTGTTCTTTCTTTACCAATATAAAAACTCTGCTCTTAGTTCTCCCTGTGTGCAGAGCCTTCTGTTGAACACTAATGGAAGTTTCAGAATAGATCCACTCTCTGTTACTATGTGTTCCCAGTTTATTGTGGGAGATAGGGCAGAAAAACAGAGAAGTAATAGCAATGTTTTGCATTTATATACTTGCTAAAACACTTCTAAACTCATCATCTCAGTCAATTCTTACATTAAAATTCTGTAAGTGGGGAGGATATAGTAATGATAGCCAAAATTTACTGAGTTCTTACTGTGGGCCAAAAGGTGATGTTATTCTCATTTCTTCAGAATAACAGAACAGAGGATTTGAGACAGGTGTAGTGACAATGCCAGTATCAGTATGTTAACATAGCCAGTGGCAGTGTTGCCTAACTAGTGACAGTGTGTCAGCTAAACTCCAGATTGCATAATTCTCAAGCTGTGAGCTGCAAAGGTAAGAAGCCCAGTTCACTGTATGTTTCAAACAAGTTATTTTAAAACGTTAAAATAATTAATATTTAGGAGGGTTGTTTATATATATCCCTAGGGTTAAAAGAATAATACATTACTTTATTATTTTGCCTATTTTTTTTAGTTAATGATATCTCTTCTGGTCCCAAAGAATTTAGGGCTACTTATGAAGATGTATATATTTCTCACGAAATGAGGCAATATAAATCTTATAAGATTTGACAGTACCGAGGACAGATACCTCTATGTCTCTTCTCATGTTAGTTAGTCTATTGTAATAGATAGGGAATTAAAATAAAGCATAACATTCCTTATAGTCTGACTGATATATTACGTGAAAAAACATAATTCTTTTAATGTCCAGTAGGATTATCATGAAAATGTTACAGAATCTCTTCAGTAGGAAGAGTAGACATTTAATTTTACAGGATTTAAGAACTCTGCCTAAAGTCAAGATGATCAATTAGCTTACCCTTAGGAATCTCTGCCCTCCATGTTGGGCTCTGTGCCTGACTCCAGCAGCCTCTGAAGTAGAAGCTATCATATTGCCAGGATTCCTCCCAGCATGGCAAACAGAACAGCTGGGGACAAGAGGGGTCAGTCCCCAGAGTGGAGCTAAGCAGAGACTGACATCTGAATCTCACTGCTTGGATATCAGGTATTCCATAGGCTATCTCTTTATTCTGTTCCTAGGAAGTAAATATGACCATTCTTCTGCCCCAGAGCCCTAGGCTTTTCATTTAGTAGTTGTGGGAAGATGAGCAGGTCCTGATGTCTAGGATCAAGGAATATTTGAGCAAGTCCACATGTAAAATAAACAAGAAACAAAATAATATTCAGATTAGCTTCTATTATTTCTAAATCAGTAACGTAAGCACTTTTAGTGTTATAATAGGTGTGTCATGAAGACTAGAGACCATTGATCAATTACCTACCATGACAATTTGAAATAAATGAATTTTTCAGTTGTGAAGAAATCTAATTGTTGAAACAGGGGAAAACAGCTCATGCTTGAATCGTTGCTTTCTTGTTGAATAGAAAATCTGTGGCTCCAACTATCCACTGAGCATTGCCTTCATTGTGGTGAATGAATTCTGCGAGCGCTTTTCCTATTATGGAATGAAAGGTAATTTTGTGTCCAAGAGTCCTACCTACTCTCTCCCACTCACCCTCACCCCATGTTTGTGACAGCCTGGTCTCTTTATGTACACTTATTTCCCTAGTCCACTCTTTCTGCCTTGGTCCAAATCGATCCTTTACTTTGGCCAAGACTTCCAATAAATCTCTCATAGGATTTCACCTAATATATAGGCCAAGATCAGAAAGGCCTGAGAGAAACCAGAACACAGACTTTGAGAATGTAAGTGGGTAGAGCTGGACATGATGGCATGTGCCTGTAGTCCCAACTACTTGGGAGGCTGAAGCAGGAGGATTGCTTGGGCCCAGGAGTTCAAGGTTATCGGGCACCTGTAATTGTGCCAGTGAATGGCCACTGCACTCCAGCCTGGGCAACATAGCAAGAACCCATCTCTGAAAAAAAAAAAAAAAAAAAAAGTGGGGACGCTCTCATTATCTGAGTTACATTTTCCATACCTGTTCCTCAGGTATGAGCTAACAGCTCTTGGCTAAGAGCTCATACCTGAGGAACAGGTATGAAGAATGGAATTCAGATGAGAGCTCTCATCATCTTGTTGCTGGGAAGGAGAGGAGAGGGAAGGGATATTGGAAGCACCATGTTATGTTCATGGTTGGCCTAAATGATGCTAGAGGTGCACATAGACTGAAGGGAGGAGTATTATATTTGTACGTTCAACATAGTCCCATTCACTCCCACAACTCCCATGGGGCCCTGCTTCTACTGCCTGGCAGTCACTTCTCAGTCATGTCACTGATGGGAGTACTGAAGGCCAAAATCACCTTATAAAGACCAGAGATTAAATATATTTTTTTCCATAAATCGCTTTAGGCCGGGCACAGTAGCTTACTCCTGTAATCCCAGCACTTTGGGAGGCCGAGGCAGGCGGATCACGAGGTCAGGAGATCGAGACCAGCCTGGCTAACACAGTGAAACCCCGTCTCTACTAAAAAAAATACAAAAAACTAGCCAGGTGTTGTGGCGGGTGCCTGTAGTCCCAGCTACTCCGGAGGCTGAGGCAGGAGAATGGCATGAACCCGGGAGACAGAGCTTGCAGTGAGCCGAGATCGCGCCACTGCACTCCAGCCTGGGCGACAGAGCGAGATTCCATCTCAAAAAAAAAAAAAAAGTCACTTTAATGCATCTGTCTTGTTTTTTCTCCCCACACCCCCTTTTTTCCCCCACTACAGCTGTGCTGATCCTGTATTTCCTGTATTTCCTGCACTGGAATGAAGATACCTCCACATCTATATACCATGCCTTCAGCAGCCTCTGTTATTTTACTCCCATCCTGGGAGCAGCCATTGCTGACTCATGGTTGGGAAAATTCAAGTAAGGAAATGGGAGGTCACATCCCTACAAGTTTCACAGATTGTGCAGAAGGCTATCACTTCTAACCTGTTGCTTCTGAGCAAGAACATACCTATGTCATGCGTGAAAAATAAGAATCTCTGTACATCTGTGTAGTGTGGGAAATTAAAAAAAAAAAAAAATCTCTATGGCAATAAGGAAAGGCTATTCTTTTCATTATCAGTTTTTCCAATGTGTTTACATCCTCTTCAGTTGCGGTATCTTTTGTTCCTTAAAACTAATTTTAACCTTCCATTCCATAGTTTAATATTAAATCTTCTTCTAATCTTGGTGGAGATAGAAAGTACTATCCACCAGCAAATTTCTAATTTTAGCTGGCTGCGGTGGCTCATGCCTGTAATCCCAGCACTTTGGGAGGCCGAGGCAGGCAGATTTCCTGAGGTCAGGAGTTTGAGACTAGCCTGGCTAACATGGTGAAACCCTGTCTCTACTAAAAAGACAAAAATTAGCCAGGCATGATGGAGGGCGCCTGTAATCCCAGCTACTTGGGAGACTGAGGCAGGAAAATTGCTTGAACCTGGGAGGCAGAGGTTGCAGCGAGCCAAGATTGCGCCACTGCACTCCAGCCTGGGCAACAGAAGAAGACTCTGTCTCAAAAAAAAAAAAAAAAATCAAATTTTAGATGCTTTTAATGTGGTTATTTGATACTTTCTCCCATCTCTTCTCCAGATTGAGTCATCCCATCTCCTTTAGGATCTTTATGAGTGTCTCTTTTCAGCTCTTTTGCCATTTATTTCTCTTCTCTAACATCTTTTTGTAGTTTCCTTCCTATGAATCTAATATTTTCATGAGTTAGACTATTGGTTCATTCAGTTCAGTATCTTTTAAGTCCCGGAACATAGCACCAAGAGATACAACATGGTATAATGTTATAGTTGTCCCCTATAACATTATCCTGATAAGCTAGAAATGGATTGTGGATATCCACTGCTCAATTATTTTCTATGGACCTGTCATTTGTCTAAAAGAGCATTTCTCAAAGGGCATTCTGTTCAAAACTATAAAATATAATGAGTTATGAGGGAAAATAAAGCTCTTGTGGTCAAACAAGTTTGGAAACTGTTAGGCTGAGCAAAGCTAAAAATGTTCCCTTACTGCATGACTTCTTATAGCCTTAAATATGCTAATATGAACTATAAAATCTCCACAGAAGGTTGTAGTACGTAGTGTTTCCCAAACTAAGGTGACTATGGAATATTTTTTCTGGATATTTTGTGGACCTAGTGTTCCCAGGAATTCTCTTTAGTAAACAGTGGTTTATAGCTTACTTTGGCCTATATATGTTCATTATTCTAAAAGTGTTTAATCAGCACCTAATATATATCTGTAGACGTAACACAGTACTGAACAGTTTCTTGACTTGGGAGAGGAATGGTGGGTGAGTAGCTGAGATCTACATTTGCTACATATGTAGTAGTAGTCACCAAAGTTATCTAGATATGAGATTGGCACTACTTGCAGAATAAAAAGTGCAATCCATAGTCTATTTATTCAGTTGTAGAAGAAAGATTCATATACATGACATACCACTTTTATTTATTTTAAAAATAATTTCCTTTAAGATTGAAGAAGCACAGTTACAGGATTTGGTGAGCAATTGTTTCCTGGTTAATTCAGAGAAAATTTAAGAACCTCCACTTGTGCCCTCAAGTCAATCCTTCTTGATGTATTTATTATTGTTTTTAATTTATTTTTATTGGGGTATAACTTACATAAAGTACACAAATTCAAGAGCCTTAACTGTACCACCTTGATCAGTTTTTATATATGTATCACCATCACCTAGATCACTCTCCCTAGGGTCTCTGTACCCTCACTATTCCCCTCTCTCGCCTTCAAATTCTCCCAAAGAACCAGAGTCTTTTCCTGCAACCAGAAGCAGGTGCAAATCTCTAATAGTTTTAAATGAACAAAACTCATCTTGACTTTTCTTTTCCTATCATTTTTCTCTTATTGCCATTAACCCCATGTTATAAAAATAATCCTCTGTGTGTGTTGCCTTTCTTTCTCACTCTTCATTATCACTTCTTATGGTAGAGTAATATAATGTAATGCAATATAATCCAATTCAATTTAACTTGATTTGACCCAATTTAATTCAATAAATGTTTATTGAGCACTTTCTATTTGTCCAAGGAACCATGGAGGATGAAGAGGTGAATTACATGTACTATCTAATTCATATTGTTCATATTAAAATAACTTTAATACAGAGCATATTGTAGCACAATAAGGTATACTATAAATCATCTTTTTTCCTATTGAAATTACTCCCTAAGATCACTGGTAAGGATTTATTCATTAACAAATTCCAGTGGTCTTTTCTAAATTCTTACTCATTTTGAACTTGTTATTAACATTTCAGTCTGTTTATCATTTCTATGAAACTCCCTGGCCTTCTCTACAGTATATTTTTCTTACTCTCGTCCTCTTATATCTTTTCTTATTTATCTGGCTTCTCTTTTGCCTCTTGTTTACTTCACTCTCTCCTGAGTATAAGCATTTTCCCAGGTTATAACTTTTACCCTCTTCTCTTTCTCTAGATTCTTCCTTAGCAGATTCTGTGGTGTTGATATTAGCTATATGCAGATGGCTCCTCAAATTCCAGTGAATTACATATTGGCATTCACCTCCTGGATTGTCCTAACTCCCCAAATCTGTTCTTTCTTCTGGCTTCCTTACATTCCTACATTCAATCAGTTATCAAATTCTGCCAATTCTGTTTGCCACAATCTCTCTCACATTTATCCTTTTTTCAGCACAACATCCCCTGCATTAGTTGCCATCACCCAGTTTTGGTCTTCATTGTCTCAATGTCTTTAAATTGAGATATTAAAATGGACATCTAAAATGTTTTTACTGCTTCCGATCTCTTTTTCTTACAATTGAGCATATACGCTACTGCCAAATTAATCTTCCTAAAAGAAATCCTGATCACATTACTACTCTGCTCAGCAATTTCTGGTGACTGTTAAATCACTGTCTGCTAATCTCACTCCAACTGAATTTTCTGTGCTTATTGTCATACTTATCTCCTTTCAAGAGTGGCCACTAGAGGAAAATTTAATACTAATATTTCTGTAATCATATCCAATGGGATCTCTTCTTCATGTCTGCTTGCATTGTTTCTGCTTCATGGAAACCCCTTCTTCCCCATCCTTTCATGTCCAAACCCTTTAAGGCTCATTCAAATACCACCTATGCCATGTAGTATTCTCTGCCTTTTACTATAGCCAAAAGTAATCTAATGTTTTCTGAATTCTTTGTTTTCTCACCCTTGTATGACATTTACTAAACTCTATCTTATTATAGTTATTTAATTATTTATATATGAATCTGATATCTTCTTTCAAACACCTAGAGGACAAAGTCATTTATATATATTTTTCCCCACCCACCCCAGTCATTTATATATTATATAAACATATATAATGTGTATAATATATGAGTATATGATATTTAAGTATATACATAATATATATATATTTTTGTCGTTGAGACAAAGTCTCACTCTGTCACCCAGGCTGGAGTGCAGTGATGTAATCTTGGCTCACTGCAACCTCTGCCTTCCAGGTCCAAGCGATTCTCCTGCCTCAGCCTCCTGAGTAGCTGTGATTATATGCATGTGCCACCATGCCCGGCTAATTATCGTATTTTCAATAGAGATGAGATTTCACCATGTTGGCTAGGCTGGTCTCGAACTCTTGACCTCAAGTGGTCCACGCACCTCCCTCTCCCAAACTGCTGGGATTACAAGTGTGAGCCACCGTGCCCAGCTGTGATTCATATTTTTATATGAGAGCACGTAGAATAGTGCCTAGCACGTAGCAGGCCCACAGTAAATCTTTGAATTCATAAATTTATTTACCCTCAGACCCTCAAATGTAGCCACATACTGCAGGTAGATGTAGACAGGCATGAAGGTTACTTTTATTTTATTGTGGGTATTGTGGTTGCTTTTTATTTTTATTTTTTATTTTTATTTTTTTATTTTTTTTGAGATGGAGTCTTACTCTGTCTCCCAGGCTGGAGTGCAGTAACGCGTCCGCTCACTGCAAGCTCTGCCTCCCGGGTTCACGCCATTCTCCTGCCTCAGCCTCCCAAGCAGCTGGGACTACAGGTGCTGGCCACCATGCTTGGCTAATTTTTTTGTATTTTCAGTAGAGACAGGGTTTCACCGAGTTAGCCAGGATGGTCTCCATCTCCTGACCTCATGATCCGCCTGCCACGACCTCCCAAAGTGCTGGGATTACAGGCGTGAGCCACCGCGCCCGGCCTGTGGTTGCTTTTTAAATAAGAAAACTTGGGGGTAATTGGTATCTCTTTCACAAAGGGAGTAGTTTGAGAAAACGTGGATAACTTGTTCTCCTGTAGTCATATTTATGTGTGTGTGCGTGTGCATGTGTGCATGTTAACATATACAAACAGATGATAACAGCAACAAAAGCGAGTAAGTACTTAAAACTACCCTTCCTTAAGTTGGAAAATCAGAAAAAAGACAAGACTCTTCCTTTACTATCTTCTCTAATTTGAACCTGTAGCCTATTTTCTTCATTTGCTAGAGGAAAATGGATAGATTTTTGTTTCAAACCGTTAAGTTCTTCCCCACCTCTCATATGTTTCTCTGCCTGAGTATGTGTTTGTGTGTGTGTGTGTGTGTGTGTGTGTGTGTGTGTGTGGTGTGTTTACTTTTATTCAGGTGTTACCTTGAGGGTGAAAAGCCTTCTATAACATTAGAAAGATTGTTCAAACCCTGAAGGGGCAATTTCCTGAATTTAGTAAACAACTTCTATTAAAAATCTTTCCTCTCTTTGCTATCCCACAATAATAGATTCGTTAAGAGGAAATGGGCATCCAGAGTCCCTGACTCTTGTTTAAGGAACTCCCTATGCCAGGAAAGAAGTGATTCTTCCTTCAGAGCTACACACAGGAATGACTAATCAATAGGTACACAGTGGGAA